TAATGTTTTGTACTTTTAGTAGAGACAGGGTTTCACCATGTTGACCAGGATGGTCTTGATCTCTTGACCTCGTGATCCACCCGCCTCGGCCTCCCAAAGTGCTGGGATTACAAGCTTGAGCCACCGCGCCTGGCCAGGCAACATATTTTTAATCTTTTTTCCATGATTAATGTAATGGTATTTCAAAATGCTATTTCGGAAGTAATTAGGTTTAGATGAGGTCATGAAGATGAGACCCCCATGATGGGATTGTGTCCCTAAAAGTAAAGGAAAAGAGACCGGAGTACTTGCTCCATCTTGTCCCATGTACCCCCAATCCATGCCATGTAAGGACACAATGAGAAGGCAGCCATCTGCAAGGCATGAAGAAGGCCCTCACCAATAACCAAATCAGCCAGCACCTTGATTTTGGAGCCTCCAAAACTGTCAGAAATAAGTCTGTTGTTTAACACACCTAGTCTGTGGAATTTTGCTATGGCAGTTTAAGCAGACTAACACAGAGCATTAAGCATTAAGGTTAATTTTTAAAAATGTCCTTATCTGCCTGCCCCAGCCTCCCAAACTGTTGGGATTACAGGCGTGAGCCACCACACCAGGCCCTTTCTTGCTCTTTAAAACAGCAATGCATACCATTCTGTAATGAAGTCTGACTTGATTCATCTTGTGTACTGCCTTTCTGAGCATTCACTAGATCTGCAACCAGAACCTCAAGTGATTTATAGTTGCTCCCAGATATCTGAATTTTTTCCTCCATTGTTTTCTTAATTTCCTTGAAACTGAACCCCATTCGTATAGCTTCTTGTACCATAGGATTTTGGAAGATGGTATCATCTGAAATAAAAATTGGTGAGGAAAAAAAAACATAGAATTTAAACAATTATTTTCATTATCACAACTCAATAGCAAATATAGTTAAAAGGAAAAAATTAAGCAGCAAATAAAAGAACAAAAACAAACTAGCAAAGCAAAGCTGCTTTGGAAAATTTTTTGAAATATTCAGGCACTGAAGAATCACTTTCGGAATCTTACAATTAATTGTAAATGCAATGAGTAAGTATTTTGTAGTGTTTTGGATTATTCAAGATTAGGGGCTTTAAAAATCCGAACTTTTTTGAATCTAGCTGTACTCGTTAACAATTAACCTAAAGTACTTAAAGAGTGGATGTTATTACTGAGTCACTAGCAATTATTTAGGAAAAATGGTATGAAATCAGGGAAGTCCCAGTTAATGACCTTGAATGGATCAGTTTCCTACCTCTCAAACTTCATTTCTGTAGCAGAGGGGGTAGGACTAGATAAGGCAAGAAAGTCAATGGAAACTTGTTTTTATGATACTCAAAGTAGAAACACAGCATGTGTAGGGAAGTGCTAAGAGAGGACACTTATACCCTCTGACTCATCAATTACACTCTTGGGTATTAAAAATGAGTGTGTATCTCTGCCAAAGATATGCAGAAGAATATTCATAGTAGTGTTATTTATAATAGCCCCAAACTGGAAACAACTCAAGTGTCCATCATCAGGTGAACAGATAAATAAATTGTGGTATATTCCGACACTACACAGCAAGAAAAAAAAAACTATTGCCACAGACAGTATGGATGAATCTCATAGGTATAATGAGTAAAACTTAATCATAATTCATCATTATGCCACAAAAGAGTACCTACTGCATGAGTCTATTTATAAGAACTTCAAAACTAATCTATGGTAATAAACAAAATTAATCTATAGTAATAAAAGCCAGAATATAACTTGGGGGTGAGTACTGATAGAGAAGGAGCATGAAAGAGCTTTTTTGGGTTATGGAAATGTTCTATATCTTGATCTGGGGGATAGTTACACAGATAAATATATATATATATTTAACATATATATTTTAATATGTATTTAACATATATATTTTACTTAATATATATTTTAACATATATATGTTAAAATTCATCAAGTAGAAAACTTATGATTAGGGTGCTTTAAGCACTTTACTGTATGTACATTATAGCTCAATAGATGCTTTTTGAAAGAGAGGAGGCCAGGTTCAGTGGCTCACACCTGTAATCCCAGCACTTTGGGAGGCCAAGACAGGGAGATTCCTTCAGGCCAGGAGTTTGAAACCACCCTGGTCAACAAAGCATGACCCTGTTTCTATTAAAAAATATATATATAAAAAGTAAGGCTGGGCATGGTGGCTCAGGTCTGTAGTCCCAGCACTTTGGGAGGCTAAGCCGGGCAGATCGCTTGAGCCTAGGAGTTCGAGATCAGCCTGGAAAACCCCGTCTCTGCAAAAAATACAAAAATCAGCTGGGTGTGGCAGCACACGCCTGTGGTCCCAGCTACTGGGAAGGCTAAGGTTGGAGGATCCTGTGAGCCTGGGAGGTGAAGGCTGCAGTGAGCTGAGACTGCACCAGCCTTGGCAACTAAGTGGGATGCTATCTAAATAAATAAGTAAATAAATAAATAGAGGAGGCTGGAAGAGATATAGAGATGTGATTATAAAGAACATGTACAGTAAATAACAAAAGGCATTTTTATGGTAGGAAAGTAACTTAAGATTTGTGTTTTGATAAAGAAAAACTCTGTTGGGAGGTTATAATGCAGACAAAAGACCAGTTAGGAGACTACTACAATTGTCCAGATGAAAAATAAGGGCCTGAACTAGAGCAGAATCAGTGGGAAAGTCTGAAGCAACATTAAAAAGGTGGAATCCAGCCGGGCGCGGTGGCTCAAGCCTGTAATCCCAGCACTTTGGGAGGCCGAGGCGGGTGGATCACAAGGTCAAGAGATCGAGACCATCCTGGTCAACATGGTGAAACCCTGTCTCTACT